TTCTTTCTTTTTTTTTTTTTTTTTTTTTTTTTTTTTTTTAATCTTGTGCTTTTTTACGAAGTAAATGATACAATAGTTTTTATGTGATGTTGCTTTTGGTAGGGATCACACAAGGTAAATAAATAAATTATTTCATTTACGAAAAAAGGTTAAAATTTAACGTTAGAGTTAATTCATTCGTCTGATTCTAAAAAATAGTCTCTACTGACTCACGTGTGTTCGGCTTGGAGCAATCATATTTTTTACGACCTCTTGAGATTTTTTTTTTTAAACAGTATGTGAGTGAGAATAAAACATGTTTGTTAACAATGATTGTCTGATACCATGTTAGGTGAGATTGAAAGTCCAATATTCATTCATGTTCACGACGTTTAAATAGGATACAAGCTATCTACTAAATCTTAAAAATAAGAGAAAACATTGTACTAACCAAATCTGAAAAATAAAACATGTTTGTTAAGAATGATTGTCTGATACTCTGTTAGATGGGATCAAAAGTCTAATATTAATTAATGTTCACAAAGTTTAAATAAGATACAACTACCAACTTAATCTTAAAAATAAGAGAAAATATTGTATTAACCAAATCTGAAAATAAAACATGTTTGTTAAGAATGATTGTCTGATACCATGTTAGGCGGGATTGAAAGTTCAATATTCTTTAATGTTCACAACGGTTTAAATAGGATAAGCTATCAATTGAATCTTAAAAATAAGAGAAAACATTGTACTAACCAAATCTGAAAATAAAACATGTTTGTTAAGAATGATTGTCTGATACCATGTAAGGTGGGATCGAAAGTCCAATATTCATTAATGTTCACAACTTTTAAACAGGATAAGCTACCAATTGAATCTTAAAAATAAAAGAAAATATTCTACTAACCAAATCTGAAAATAAAACATGTTTGTTAAGAATGATTGTGTCATACATGTTAGGTGAGATCAAAAGTCTAATATTCATTTTACAACATTTAAATAAGATACAAGCATGTTAAGAATGATTGTCTGATACCGTGTAAGGTGGGATCGAAAGTTCATTATTCATTAATGTTCACAACGTTTAAATAGGATACAAGCTACTAATTGAATCTAAAAAATAAGAGAAAATATTCTACTAACCAAATCTGAAAATAAGATAAAATATATAAAGATGTTCGTTTAATCGAAAACTTGTTTTCAAACAAGTTGGTTTTTTCGTGTGGGTTATAGTTCAATAATTATTGGGAAAAAAAAATGTTCGTTTTTAATAATATTCGAAAGAGATTTCTACAATGATATCTTGAAAAAAATATTTCACATTTTGATATGAACCAAGACATCAATTATGTGATATAAACTTCGAAGAAAATGTTAAAAAAGAAAAAAAAATATGGTGTTCAAATTATCACAAGATGTTACAATTCATCTCACATTTGTTCGAGAGCTCCGTACTAGTGTACTTTGTTGGAGGGGAGTATTGTTGAGGATTGTTATGAGAGGTTATGCGTGGACAATATCATACCATTATGAAGAGTCGTGATTCCTAACATGGTATCAGAGTCATGTCTTAAATTTAGTCATGACAATAGAATCATCAAATATCGAATAAAGAATTGCGAGTCTCGAAGGTGTAGTCGAACAAAGAGCGTACTTTATTGGGCCCTCCAAAGAGAGAAGTCGAGCCTCCCAGAGAGGCTGTTTACATGAATGGAAGAAAAAAAAAAAGCTTTTTTTTATTTTACTTTTGTAGAACTAATTAATAAAAATAAACATAAAGAAAAGAAAAAGAATAATTTAAAAAAAAAAAAGTGGAAAATATAAAAAGGAGGTCGGTTGGGTTGGTAATTTAGTGCCACGTGGTAAGGGATTGTTCGGTAATAGCTGAATCCTATCCTTATCTTCAATGGAGGCGATCCGGTAAGCTTATTTCGTCAAGATCATCCAGCGTTAAAAAAACTTCATCCAAACACGACAGCTCCGCCCCTTCTTCTTCTTCCTCGTAAACTCTGCACAATACCCATTTGCTGTAATCCTGAAAAAACCATTCAATCTGTATTTATTCATAAATTATAATTTACCATATATATCATATTTTCTTTTTTTTTTATTAAAAACAAATATACGGATATTTACTATATAATTTTATTTATTTGATTTTATAAATAGATTTTATTTTAAGCGGTTTTTTAAAAAGTGGTTTTTGAAAAGTGGTTTCAGTGGACGGTGGCGTACTCGTTTTGGACGTCCTCGGCGTCTGGACGATCTACCGGCGGCGGCGGCGGCGTTGTAAAGACGATACTCGTGCATTACCCAGTTGGTTTTGGCGTCGCCGACGTGGAAGAGAAAATATTTCTTCATTCCGACGACTTCGGCGGTGGCGGAAGCGACGACGGGCTCGTCTCGGCCCAATGGATTCCAGTAGCCATTAGCGGTAACTCGAGCGTCGGTTTTTCTACTGTAGAAATACCACTGGTTTCCCTCTCCCAACGCCTTCCCTAAACACACAACCAATCATCAACTTCCACGTGTAATATAAAAAAATATATTTATAGCTTAAATTAATGGAAACTTAATATCTCCTATCTTAATATATAAATAATATCAATATATTAAAAATTACTAAAAATATATATTTCTAAATTAAAAAAAATATATAGTACCTCTTTTATTTTATTTCATAGTCTTCATCCTTTTATTTCATATTTTTTAAAATTTTTAAAATTAAACGATATTTTTAAAACAGTTCGAGAGCATTTACGAAAACTATTTTGGTCCATAAAATCGTTTATTAAACTTTTTTTTTTTTCAAAGTTTGATATTTTTTAATTTTTTTAAGTCGAAAAGTTAAATATATCTTTTAAATTTTAAAAATTAAAAAAAAAAAATCAACAAAAGAGGTAAAAAAAAGTCTTATATAGTTAAACATACCATCTAGTTCCCATGGATCGTAGGGGAAGAGAGCGAGATCGGGAATGACGTCGGGGTGGCACGGTAGCAAGGCGGCCTTGCGATGGAGGAAATGGACGACGAGCTCTTCATCGGTGGGATAGAATCGGAACCCGGGAGGGAGGGTGAAGTTGTGGGTATGAGCAGCATCCATGGGAGGTGAAGAATGGAAGAGAAGAATGATGATATTTATAAAGAAGAGTGTGACGTGAGAGTGAAGTTAGGCAATCAATTTGATCACTAAAACACATGTAATGAAGACCCACAACACAAATCAAAATCAAACCCTTCAAAAAAAGCAAACAACTTGAGATGATCATACACAAAGATAATGATTATGAACGAGAAGAAGGCGGCGTAAAATGGAACACTTTCACTTTCTCAAATACAAAATCGTCCACCGCTATCAGATATTGTCTGTTTTGACCTGTTACGTATCAACATCAGCCTCACGGCTTTAAAACGTATTGACTAGAGAGAGGTTTCTACATCCTTATAAGGAGTTCTTCATTCCCCTCTCCAATCAACGTCGCGATTGACTTGGGATGTTACATATGGTATCAAAGCTCGATATCAAGCGGTGTGTTAGCGAGGACGTTGGCCCCCAAGGGAGAGGTGGACTGTGATATCTCACATTGATTGGAGAAGGGGACGAAACATTTCTTATAAGGGTGTGGAAACCTCTACCTAACAGACGCGTATTAAAATTGTGAGGTAGATAGTATCTGCTAGCGATGGGTTTGGGTTGTTATAGTCATGATTTTGATGCACTCCTTGTGTCAAGCCTTAAGGGAAACTTAAGCCTCTTTTTTCGCTGGGTTTTATATGAGGTTCTCCTTCACCGACCGAACACAACTCATGCAGAAACTTAGCTATGTTCGGCCATATACGTCATTCATGTGTGCATGTTCATTCAATTACGACCCTACCAACAAAACATATGTACTACCCTCGATTAGGTTTTAGCAATCTTCTTTCTATGCCCGTGAATTTTCTAATAATTTACTAAAACTTTTCGATTTTTTTTTATTATGTTATTTCTATTTCTCTTCATTAATAGTACGACAGACATGTTCGATGAAATTTGGTTAAAGAAGGACAATCCATGTCTTTCGGTACTTAACTAAAATCGAGATATTTTCTATTATTTCATAATTTTTATATATATATATATATATATATATATATAATTGGAATTTAGAAATATATGAAAAATATGGAATTGGATAATTGTAGTTTCAACTTTTAATTATTAAAAAAAATAGTGTGAAAATGGAAGACTTTGAAGCATCATCACACGTCACGCTTACGCCACCCCACCTGCTACGCCCACGTGTCACGCGCGAAAATGGGTTTGGTCGTGGACCAATTTCGGAAGTCAGTGGGCCCACATCATTGGAGTGTCATCTGTCCCTACACACTCATTTCCATCAACAATTATTGTTTTTTTTTAAACTATATATATATATATATATATTTTTTTTTTATTATTATTATTATTATTATAATCTTTTCAATTGCAGGCTCGGGAGGTGTGATGTCCACATTGGTTGGGGAAGAGAACAAAACACCATTTATAAGGGTGTGGAAACCTTCCCCTAACAGACGCGTTTTAAAGCTTTGAGGGGAAGCCCGAAAGAAAAATTCCAAAGAAGACAATATCTGTTAGCAATGGGTCTGGGTCGTTACAAATGGTATCAAAGTTAGACACTGGATGATGTGTCAGCCTTCTCGTTGTTCCCCCACAAATGGTATCAAAGCTGGACACTAGATGATGTGTCAGCCTTCTCGCTATTCCGCCACAAATAGTATCAGAGCTGGACACTAGATGATGTGTTAGCCTTCTCGCTATTCCCCCACAAATGGTAGCAGAGTTGGACACTGGATGATGTGTCAGTCTTCTCGTTGTTCCTTCCAGAGCTAGACACTGGATGATGTGTCAGCCTTCTCGTTGTTCCCCCACAAATGGTATCAGAGCTGGACATTGGATGATGTGTCAGCCTTCTCGTTGTTCTCCCACAAATGGTATCAGAGCTAGACACTGGATGATGTGTCAGCCTTCTCGTTGTTCCCCCACAAATGGTATCAGAGCTAGACATTGGATGATGTGTCAGCCTTCTCGCTATTCCCCCACAAATGGTATCAGAGCTAGACACTGGATGACGTGTCAACCTTCTCGCTATTTCCCAAAAGGATGTAAACACGAGGCGGTGTGCTAGTAAGGACGCTGACCTCGTTTTAAATATCAAAATTACGATATTTAATAATGTTTTGTCAATAAATATTAAAAAATTTATTCAAAGAAAAGAAGTATTTTAAAAAAAAAAATGCAATCAACTATTTCTTAGGGTTGTGGGCATGCCTCAAGTGGGCCCCACCCTCACTAAAAAATTAATATATATTTTAAGTAACTGAACACAATTATTCTAAATTAATAATTTAAAATTTAAATTTAAATTAATGTGACGTATAAGTGAAGATAATAATAATAATAATAATAATAATAATTAAATTACTAATTTTAGTTTATAGACATTGACGTAACTGAGTTTTCCATTTCACTTTCTTCACTAACTTTTTTAAATTCAATAATTAAGCTCTTTCCTTTACATCTTTATTTATTTTTAAAATTTTATTTTTTAAATCACTTACTATTAACGGTTGTTGAACTCGAAGAAAAAAGGATGTCGGGTTTATTTAGTTAGTCAACTGGCTTGTATTTCGTGGAACGAATTGAAAGGGTTCGTGGATAATACCCGAGATAAGAGTTGAAAAAAACGAATGACTGAATAAACGTACGTGCTGAGTAAACGGAGCTATGACTCGGTCGTGCTTCACTGATAGATCTAGATTTCGATTCCCGGCTCTTAATATTCTATTATACTCATATTTTGATGATGTATTTACAGTGTCTTTTGCATGAACTTCCACTGAATTATGTCGAATTATATTTGTTAGATGCATGTTTTTAAATTGATTAGGATTATCGAGTCGTGTTAAATTTTACGTCGTAGTAGCAATCCCGAGCTCAAGATTTTCGAGATTAAAAACTTTCTTCTTTGTAGCAATTCCGAGCTCAAGATTCTCGAGATTAAAAATTATCGAGTAACATAGTACATTGAAGTAGAGAAAGGATGTACTGAATTTTAGAATCATTACAAAGAAGAAAGTTTATGGAAATGGAATGGGCAAAAGTTTTCAATTTGTTGTTGAAATTCATAATGTGTTGCTTCAACTTATCAATGATGAAAAATTCTAAACTAGTTGTCTTCTATTGGATTTTAATAAAAGTTGTAGTGGACATCGAGGTGTATTTGACGAGAGCTTTAAAAGTTGAACGTTAAAAATATCTTTAGCTCGAGAACAACTACATTTTTTATAAGAGTATGAAAACCTCACTCTAACAACACGTTCTAAAATCGTGAGGCTGATAGCGATACGTAACGAGTCAAATTGGATAATATCTACTAGCAGTAGGTTTGGGTTGTTACAAATGATATTAGAGCTAGGCACCGAACAGTGTGCCAGCGAAGACGCTAGATCTTGAAGGGGGTTTGGATTGTGAGATTCACATCGGTTGAAGAGAAGAACAAAATATTGTTTATAATAGTTCAACAAGGACAAACAAAATAATTATAAAAGTCTATTATATATATTTAGTTTATAATTGTGTCAACTAGGGCGTATGCATAACATTTCGTGGCCTAGATTATAGTTCGTTGTGGGCTGCTCGAAGTTAGTGACTACAGATGGTGTGCCCTGAGTTCGAATCCGAGTCTACATGTTGTTTCTTCTTCACCCGACTATCACATGAATGATTATTTTTCATCCCCGACTTCTCTGATTGATTTCCAACCACCATGCATTTGTTCTTTACTCACACAACATCACTTTTAAGTCCCTCTTCGTGTTCACGTTCTAAACGTTCTATCCTTATGTATTGCTACTGTGTTGACGCAGTAGATGAGCGTGTGAGAACTTTTGGATGATTTGCGAGCAGAAGAGGAAGGTTTTGTAGCATTCGTGGACTGTTTGCTTCCATGAAATTTATGACACTGTTTTATTTTTTATTTTTTTTCCCGTTACACAGCTCCTTAGAAACATAGCGTTTATAAAGTCACAAATATGCATGAGATTTCGTAACATTTTCATTAAGTGATATGAACATGAAAAACTATCACAACAATCTCAGTGAACATTTAAGATTTGGAACAGTTCTCAATGAACATTTAAAATTCAGAATCATTCTCAACGAACATTCAAGATTTAGAACCATTCTCAACGAACATTCAAGATTCAAAACCGTTCTCAACGAACATTCAAGATTCAAAACCGTTTTCAACGAACATTCAAGATTCAAAACCGTTCTCAACGAACATTCAAGATTTAGAACCGTTTTCAACGAACATTCAAGATTCAAAACCGTTCTCAACGAACATTCATGATTCAGAACCGTTCTCAACGACATTCAATCAAGATTCAGAACCATTCTCAATGAACATTCAAGACTCAGAATCGTTCTCAACGAACATTCAAGATTTAGAACCGTTCTCAATGAACATTCAAGATTTGGAACCGTTCTCAACGAACATTCAAGATTCAGAACAGTTCTCAACGAACATTCAAGATTTAGAACCGTTCTCAACGAACATTCAAGATTCAGAACAGTTCTCAACGAACATTCAAGATTCAGAACAGTTCTCAACGAACATTCAAGATTCAGAACCGTTCTCAACGAACATTCAAGATTCAGAACCGTTCTCAACGAACATTCAAGATTCAGAACAGTTCTCAATAAACATTCACGATTTAGAACAGTTCTAATTATCATATAATATCTCATAACACTAAGACGTACTAAGACTAACATAATAAACATTCAAGATTCAGAACAGTTCTATTCCAACATTAAGACGTACTAAGACTATCATATAATATCTCATTCCAACACTAAGACATACTCAAGACATACTCAGGACATACTAAGGACATACTAAGACGTTCTAGACGTTCTAATAGTAGACTCATTTACCTTATTAGCCAATAAAGTATATTGGCCTCTGAGAGTTGGTAAATACATTAGAAGAAACATTGTCATTGTGGATGTTCTCTGACTAAGGTTGATTGGAAGACACGGGGCCCGACACTGATGGTAATGCAGTGGTCGTCCCAGACTTGGTTTCCATAGTAAGCATCCTCAGAGATATTTTCCTTAGGTAATCTGACTGAAATTAGAGGTTCAATATAGAAATGGTGAGTACTCAGTGTTGTATTTAGTAGATAGCATAATAGATCAGGGCTTTATACAAGTGAGAGCAGCAAGTACCTGACTGGTTGCGGCATTGTAAACCTTTTCCTCGAACCTTACAGCAATTTTCCTCAACTCATTCAATCCCTCAGGACCAGAAACAGGAATGTGCCTCTTCAATGTCTCAATTCTACATAAAAATGGAAAAGATGGTGGCTGACAAGTTTATTAAACGCAAAAGCACGTGAAGCTGTTCGGGAGCGAAAAAACTATAGCTGTAACCCACATCCATGATTCAAAATATTAGTGTAACAACTTAAGCTCCCTGCTAGCAGATATTATATGATTTGACTTGTTATGTATCGCCGTTTTAAAACGAATTTACTATGGAGGTTTCCACACCCTTACGAGGAATGTTTCATTCCCTCTCCAACCAATGTGGGATCTCACAATCCACCCCCTTGAGAACAGGGCCTAGCGTCTTTGTTGGTTTACTGTCCGGTGTTTGACTCTGGTACCATTTATAACAGCCCAAGCCCACCGCTAAAATATATTGTCCGCTTTGACTCGTTACGTATCGCTGTCAATCTTGCGGTTTTAAAACGTGTCTACTAGGGAGAGGTCTCCACACCCTTACGAGGAATGTTTCGTTCCCTCTCCAACCAATGTGGGATCTCACAATCCACCCCTTGAGGGTCTAGGGTTCCCCTCTCCAACTGATGTGGGATCTCACAATCCACCCCCTGAAGGGTCTAGCATCCTCGCTAGGTGATTTTGGTACCATTTGTAACAGCCTAACCTCACCACTAAAATATATTGTCCGCTTTGGCCCGTTAAGTATCGTTGTCAGTCTCGCGATTTTAAAATGCATCTGCTAAGGAGAGGTTTCTACACCATTACGACGAATGTTTCATTCCCCTCTCCATACTCTCCAACCAATATGGGATGTCACGATACTTTAGAACAGTTAGAGGAAAATTCAATAGAGTCCATGCTGCTCCAAATAAGATATTCGTCTTATGTTCAATGAAGGGGTAACACTTGAAGAAACAAATAGGAACCGCATCCACAAAATCTAACCTACCACATCTTCAAACCAGAAATGGAAAAGTGAACGGGATAATTTTAAATCACCAACTCTCTCACCAATCCTCAACGATCCTTCCCACGAACAAACTACACTATAGAACCTCTCTTGAGAACTATGTAGCTCTCAAGAACAATTTCCCCTTAAACGAGGCTCGACTACTTTTTCTGGAGCCCTCGAACAAAGTAACTACACTATAGAGACTCTCCTGAGAACTATGTAGCCCTCAAGAACAATCTCCTCTTAAACGAGGCTCGACTCCTTTCTTTGGAGCCCTCAAACAAAGTACACCCTTGATTTCTTTCTCTGGAGCCCTCGAACAGAGTACACTCTCTGTTCGACACTTGAGTCACTTTTGACTACACCTTCAAGGCTCACAACTTCTTTGTTCGACATTTGAAGATTCTCATGACTCTAATACCAAGTTAGGAATCACGACTCTCTAAAATTGTATGATATTTTCCACTTTGAGCATAACCTCTCGTAGCTTTTACTTTTCGGAACCCCAAAAGGCCTAATCCTTAGGATCATCTTAATTACCCAACGTGGAATTCTCTCCAAACAATCTTCGATAAGGTTTTGGAAAAATCAGTTCGAATCCATCAGTTAAACACAAATTTAAGAAAAGGTAGAAAAAGGTTTTGCCGTTCATAGCTTAATTCAGAAAACCATCACATAGTAACTAATCTAAGCAGCGAACTATGAACACAAAAAGTTACAAAATCTCAGACAAACTTCTCAAAGAAGCAAGAAATCATACATGCTGTTGACAATTCGATGCCGAGAATCCGGCGGCAACTGAGACCTCCAAACCCCGGCATCGACTTCGGGTTCTCCACCTTGAGCAGGCCCTAAATGATTTGAATCCATTCAAAAGTTTCGAAATAACCTACGAGAAGAAATTGCGTCAAAACCCCAATAACAAAGCAAAAGGAGAGAGTGAAGAATCGACACACCTCGGTTTCTCCTCAATGTTCATAAAATATTTTCTTATGAATTTCTAAGAAATTACCTCCTGACATCTTCGAATCAGTCGACAAATGTTGGAATGGACAACTGACATAGTCCAGTCGTAGTCACATTGGAATCGAGTCTGTAAGCTTGTTGGATTGGGCTTTGAGGTTTGGTGTAATATCCCAAGTAAGGATCGACCCAAAACATCAAGAAAAGAAATTAACACATTGACATTCAAACAAGAACAAGAGTCTTAAGGCGAGTTATTTTCAATATCCTAAGAAGTAATTTTAGGCATTTAAGTCCTTTGGAAAAGGATCCAAACCGAAACCCAAAAAGTAAGCATTTAGGATGAAAATGTCATTTTTTTTTCAATTTTTAAGGAATTTAAAGGATCCAAACCAAAACCGAAAAAGTAAGCATTTAGGACGAAAATGTCATTTTTTTCAATTTTTAAGGAATTTCCGTTAAGAAGGAATTTCAAAGTGTTTGAGAAGAAAAAAGTGACTAACAAAAGATAAATAATTACACCATTTTTTTTTTTCCCAGTTACACCGCCTTTGTAAACATAACGCTTATGAAGTCACAAATATGCATGAGATTCCGAAACATTTTTATTTAGTGATACCAACATGAAAAACTATCACAACAATAACATGAACATTCAAGATTCATAGCCGTTTCAATTATCATATAACATCTCATTCAAAACAATCTCATAAACATTCAAGATTCATAACCGTTTCAATTATCATATCATATCTCATTCAAAACAATCTCATGAACATTCAAGATTCAGAACCGCTTCAATTATCATGATCTTATTCAAACCAATCTCATGAACACTCACAAGATTAAGAACAGTTTCAATTATCATATAATATCTCATGAACACTCAAGATTCAGAAAAGTTTCAATTATCATATGATATCTCATTCAAACCAATCTCACGAACACTCAAGATTCAGAACAGTTTCAAGTATCATATGATATCTCATTCAAACTAATCTCATGAACACTCAAGATTCAGAACAGTTTCAATTATCATATGATATCTCATTCAAACCAATCTCATGAACACTCAAGATTAAGAACAGTTTCAATTATCATATGATATCTCATTCAAACCAATCTCATGAACACTCAAGATTCAGAATAGTTTCAATTATCATATAAATATCTCATTCCAAGCACCGAAACGTTCTAATAATAATAATAGTAGAGTCATTTACCTTAATAGCGAATAAAGTATATTTACATTATTGGCCTCACAGAGTTGGTAAATACATTAGAAGGAGCAGTGTTATTTTGGATATTCTGGGAGAGTAATTGCAGGCGTGGCTAAGGTTGATTGGAAGCCATAGGCCCAGACATTGATGGTAATGCAGGGGTCGTCCCAGGCTTGGTTTCCATAGTAAGCATCCTCAGAGATATTTTCCTTAGGTAATCTGACTGAAATTAGAGGTTCAAAATACAATTGGTGAGTACTCAGTGTTGTATTTAGTGGATAGCATAATAGATCAGGGCTTTATACAAGTGAGAGCAGCAAGTACCTGACTGGTAGCGACAGTGTAAACCTTTTCCTCGAACCTTACAGCAATTTTCCTCACCTCACTCAACCCCTCAGGACCCGAAACAGGAAGGTGCCTCTTCAATGTCTCAATTCTACATAAAAATGGAAAAGATTGTGGCTGACAAGTTTATTAAACGCAAAAGCACGGGGAGCTGTTTGGGAGCGAAACACTATAGCTGTAAACCACGTCCATGATTCAAAATATTAGTGTAACAGCTTAAGCTCACCGCTAGCAGATATTGTCCGCTTTGGCCCCTTACATATCACTGTCAGCCTCACGGTTTTAAAACGCGTCTACTAGGGAGAGGTTTCCACACCCTTATGAAGAATGTTTCATTCCCCTCTCCAACCAATGTGGGATCTCACAATCCACCCCTTTGAGGGCCTAGCGTCTTCGTTGGCACACCTCTCGATGTCTGACTTTGATACCATTTGTAACAGTCCAAGCTCGCTACTAACAAATATTGTCCGCTTTAGCCTGTTACGTATCGCCGTCTGCCTCGCAGTTCTAAAACGCATCTATTAAGGAGAGGTTTTCACACCCTTAAGAGGAATGTTTTGTTCCCCTCTCTGACTAATATAGGAGCATTTTGAAGGAATGTACTTTAGAACCGTTAATTCAATAGGATCCATACTACTTCAAATAAGTTGTACGTCTTATGTTCAATGGAGGGTTAATACTTGAAGAAACAAATAGGAACCGCCACCACAAAAGCTAACCTACCATAATACCTGAAGAAACAAATAGGAACTGCCTCCACAAAATCTAACCTACCATATCTTCAAACCAGAAATAGAAAAGTGAACGGGATAACTTTAACAAACTAGGTTTGTAAGGAATCATGAATCTCCCAACAATCCTTTTTCCTACTACACCGTAGAGCCTCCCCAGAGGTCTATGTAGCCCTCGAACACAACCATCCTTCTCCATTGTACGTCTTATGTTCAATGGAGGGTTAATACTTGAAGAAACAAATAGGAACCGCCACCACAAAAGCTAACCTACCATAATACCTGAAGAAACAAATAGGAACTGCCTCCACAAAATCTAACCTACCATATCTTCAAACCAGAAATAGAAAAGTGAACGGGATAACTTTAACAAACTAGGTTTGTAAGGAATCATGAATCTCCCAACAATCCTTTTTCCTACTACACCGTAGAGCCTCCCCAGAGGTCTATGTAGCCCTCGAACACAACCATCCTTCTCTACTATACCATAGAGCCTCCCCAGAGGTCTATGTAGCCCTCAGACAGTCTCCTCTTAAACCTCTCCTTAAACCCTTAAACGAGGCTGGACTCCTTTCTCTGGAGCACTTATGACTATACCTTCAAGGCTTACAATTTCTTTGTTCGACAATTGAAGATTCTATTAACATTGCTAAGTTAAGGGCATGACTTTGATACCATGTTAGGAATCACGACTCTCTACAGCGATATGATATTGTCCACTTTTAGCATAATCTCTCATGGCTTCACTTTGGCTTTCCCAAAAGGCCTCGTACCAATAAAGATAGTATTTCTTAGGATCATCCTCTTCATTAGCCAACATGGAATTCCTCCCAACAATCTTCAACAAGGTTTTGGAATCAGTTCGCATCCATCAGTTAAACACAAATCTAAGAAAAGGTAGAATAAGGTTTTGCTGTTCATAGCTTAATTCAAAAAACTATCCCATAGTAACTAATCTAAGCAGCGAACTATGAATCAAAAAGTTGCAAAAGCGCAAACAAATTTCTCAAATAGGGTATTAATGGCATGGAAGAAGAAAGTAATCATACATCTTGTCGACAATTCGATGCCGAGATTCCGGCTGCAATTGAGACCTCCAATCCCCAGCATCGACACCGGATTCTCCACCTTGAGCAGGCCCCAAATGATTTGAATCCATTCAAAAGTTGCGAAACAATCTAAATTGCGCCAAAACCCTAATAACAAAGCAAAAGGAGAGAGTGAATCGGGAACAGCCTTATGAATGATTGTCTCCTCACACCTTGGGTACCAAGTTACTCGGTTTCTCCTCAATGTTCATCAAATTTTCTGATGAATTTCTAAGAAATTACCTCTTGAAATCTTTGAATCAGTCAACAAATGTTGGATTGGGCAACTGACCTAGTCCAGTCGTAGTCACATTGGAGTCCAATCTGTAAGCTTGTTGGATTGGGCTTTGAGGTTTGGTGTAATATCCAAAATATTCATTCAGAAATTAAGACACTCTTATAGCAAGTAATTTTAGACATTTGAAATTACCAAAATACCCTTGAACTTTGAAATAATTACGAAAATAGTACAGATCAGAAAATCAGATCCACGGCAGTGAGTAGTCCTAAAAAAAAATCTACCATATCTTCATTTTCAATCGTTGGATCTTCACCAAATTTGAATGCCCAAAATTTAAACAGAAATTCTAGTGTTGGTCGAGCTAACTTCTCTGGTGCTACTGTCAGACACCCAAATGGAATAGCAACCGTCGTAGCATCATGACAAACATGATGATCATTTTCCTTTTCATAACGTACGTATTCGTATTCATCATAAAAGAAAATATCTCTACGCTTGTGAACATACATTTATGCACGAGGTCCCAACATTTTTCATTGTAAACAAATCGTGCAAGACAGCCCTTACAAAATCATTTCATTTATAGCATAATCTTTGAAACATATCTTAAGGGTTATCGATCATAAATCTCTTTATCTCAAAACATTTCATAGCTTGTGATAACATATCATGGCCTAGTATAATCATATCACAGCGTATCATGGCATTTCATAGCATATCATAATTCATCGAGGCATAATACGAAATTCATTTACGTTTTAATATTACTTGGCATATTTTGGCATATCATGTAGCAAAACATATCATATCATCAAACATATGATACATACACGGCCACTAGGCACGTGTCATCATATATAAAACAATTCTTCCAACCATACTGATAGTAGAGCCACTTACTTGGTTGACCTTAACCGAAGCTCTATCTAATTTTTGAATTGGTTTGACTTCGTCCCTCGAAGTTCGTTTCAACTTATTCGAAAGGCGCTTCAACCTATTAGAAATATTTACCTAATTCTTTCGGTAAATCCAACTCCTAACTTAATTTAACTTAAATTGAGGAAATAGGAATCGATATGAACCAAGGCATCTTATCATGTAATATTAATGCCACATTAAGAATAATCAAACTTCATTTATGCAACAAAGGCTTCAAGATGGGGCTTCATTTATTCTTTAACTGATTGATAATTTAGAGTTATTGTATTTTCAATGTATTTTAAGATTTATTTACATAGTGACTAATTATGGTCATAAAACATGCATAGTGGTTAATTATGATCTAATTGTGGTCATAAAGTATGAAAGTTGCATCTCTTGGAAAGCCTCGTGAAAGGTTAAAAGTTTTCATTTTGAGACTATATAATGTCATGCATGTTATATTTGTAAAATAGACTTGAAAAATATAGTAAAATGAACATTTGTGCTTTCCTTTAGCCATGTCGTTTCTTTGCAATTATATGTAGTTTAGGTTGTATATAGAATTATTCAAGCTCGAGATCAATCTTGTTTGTGGAGTGATTCGAATCTCAAATAAGTATTCTTGCCTTGAGATATTTGATCAACAAGGTAATCTGAATTTTACTTTCCCTTGAAGTGATTCTTTATCTATAGGGCTAAGTTTAGATTATATTGCATGTTGAAATACACAAACTCGAGCCGTTTACGCCACGGAGCAGCGTCGAAGTCGAGCCGAGGAGTGCGATGTTGAACGAGCCGCAACTGGAGACAAGACACGTGTGGGGTTGAGAAGCGCGAGTCATTAATCGAGTGGAGGCATAGCCTTCGGGTCAGGTTGCTCGGGCGTGCAAATCGCGTGCGTCTGTTGGATCGCGCAAGTTTTGTAGGTTGCAAGGTGCGTCTGCTAGGCCATATGCATAGCATTAAGTGGGCTTAGCTTACACGCCGTCATGGACTGCGCGAAGTCAGTGGTTGCAGATGGTGTGCCCCGAGTCCACGGGTCGTTTCTTCTTCACCCGACTGTCACGCAAATCACAACCCTAATCTTCGATCGATTCTTTTTCCTTCCAACGTATCTACTTGATTTTCGGCCACCACGCATCTACCCTTCACTCACACAACGTCACTCTAAGTCCCTCTTTGTGTTATTGTCGCCGATAAGTCACAAATATGCATGAGATTTCGTAACAGTTTCAATTAGTGATACGAATATGAAAAACTATCACAACAATATCATGAACATACAAGATTTAGAACCGTTTCAATTATCATATAATATCTCATTCAAAACAACATCGTGAACATTCAAGATTAAGAACACTTTCAATGATCCTATAATATCTCATTCAAAACAATATCATGAACATTTAAGATTAAAAACAGTTTCAATGATCACATAATATCTCATTCAAAACAATATCACGAACATTCAAGATTAAGAACAGTTTCAATTATCATACAATATTTCATTCAAAACAATATCATAGAACATTCAAGATTCAAAACGATTTCAATTATCATACAATATCTCATTCCAACATTAATGCGTTCAAATAGTAGACTCGTTCACCTTATTAGCCAATAAAGTATATTGGCCTCTGAGAGTTGGTAAATACATTAGAAGAAGCAGTGTTATTTTGGATGTTGTGGGAGAGTAATTGCAGGCGTTTCTAAGGTTGATTGGAAGCCATAGGCACAGGCATTGATGGTAATGCAGTGGTCGTCTCAGAGTTGGGTTCCAAAGTAAGCATCTTCACATGTATTTTCCTTCGGTACTCTGGCTGAAATCAGAGGTTCAAAATATAATTGGTATTTTTATTTAGTGCAACACTACATAGCATAATAAATCAGGGCTTTATGAACAAGTTCTTATACAAAAGTATCTTTCAGTACAGAACTAAATCTTAGGAACCCAATGAAATTGGGATCTTATTGTTATAGCAAATGGGCTAAACATAAATAAGATGATGTATGTTCTTAAAACCCTTGAGAACTATAACAAGTGAGCAGGAAGTACCTCACTAGTAGAGGCAGTATAAATCTTTTCCTCGAACCTTACAGCAATTTTCCTCAGCTCACTCAATCCCTCAGGACCAGAAACAGGAAGGATCCTCTTCAATGTCTCCATTCTACATAAAAATGGAAAAGATGATGGCTGACAAGTTTATTAAACACAAAAGCATGGGAAGCTGTTCAGGAAGGAAAAACTACCGCAGTAATCCACGTTCATGATTCAAAATATTAGTGTAACAGCCTAAGCCCACCGCTAGCAGATATTGTCCGCTTTGGTCCGTTATGTTTTGCTATTTTAAAACACGTCTACTAGGGAGAGGTTTCTACACCCTTATGAGGAACGTTTCGTTCCCCCCTCAAGCTAATGTGGGATCTAACATCCCACCCCCTTGAGGGCCTAGCGTCCTCACTGGCACACCGCCCGATGTCTGACTCTGATACCATTTGTAACAATTGAAGCTCACCACTAACAGATATTGTTCGCTTTGGCCCCTTATCGCTATCAGCCTCACGGTTTTAAAACACGTCTACTAAGGAGAGGTCTCCACACCCTTAGGAAGAATGTTTCGTTCCCCTCTCCAACCAACGTGGGATCTCACAATCCACCCCCCTTGAGGGCCTAGAGTCCTCGCTGGCACACCGCCCAGTGTTTGACTTTGATACCATTTGTAACAGCTCAAGCCCACCGCTAGTAGATATTGTCCGCTTTGGCCCGTTACATATTGTCGTCAGCCTCACGGTTTTAAAGCGTGTCTTCTAGGGAGATATTTCTACACCCTTATAAGGAATGTTGTGGGATCTCACAATCCACCCCCCTTGAGGGCCTAGCGTCCTCGTTGGCATACCTCCCGGTGTTTGATTCTGATACCATTTGTAACATCCCAAGCCCACCGCTAATAGATATTGTCTGCTTTGGCCTGTTACGTATCATCGTCAGTCTCGCAGTTTTAAAACACGTCTACTGGATAGAGTTTTCCACACCTTAAGGAGGAATGTTTCATTCCACCCTCCTCAACCGACGTGGGATCTCACAATTAGGCAGCCTAATTTTGAAGGAATGGACTCTAGAACAGTCGAGGAAAATTCGATAGGATCCATACTGCATCAAATAACTTAATACTTCTTATGTTCAAAGAAGGGGCTAATACCTGAAGTAACAAATAGGAACCGCCTCCACAAAACCTAACCTACCATATCTTCAAACCAGAAATGGAAAAATGAAGGAGATAATATTATAGAACTACGTTTTGGAATCAGTTCGCATCGATCAGTTATACGCGCAAATCTAAGAAATGGTAGAATAAGGTCGAGGATGATTCTATACTTCCAAAGTTTTGCCGTTCATAGCTTAATTCACAAAATCATCCCAAAGTAACTAGTCTAAGCAGCGAACTATGAAACAAAAAGTTACAAAAGCTCAAACAGATTTCTCAAACATGCATGAAAGAAGCAAGAAATCATACATTCTGTCGACAATTTGATGCCGAGAATCCGGCTGCAATTGAGACCTCCAATCCCCAGCATCGACTCCGGATTCTCCACCTTGAGCAGGCCCCAAATGATTTGAATCCATTCAAAAGTTCCGAAACAATCTAAATTGCGTCAAAACCCTAATAACAAAGCAAAAGGAGAGAGTGAATCGGGAACAGCCTTATAAATGATCGTCTCCTCACACCTTGGGGACCAAGTTCCTCGGTCTCTCCTCAATGTTCATGAACTATTTTCTTATGAATTTCTAAGAAATTACCTCTTGGCATCTTTGAATCAGCCAACAAATGTTGGATTGGACAACTGACTTAGTCGAGTCGTAGTCACATTGAAGTCGAGTCTGTAAGCTTGTTGGATTGGGGTTTGAGGTTTGGTGTAATATCCATGATAAGAACATTAAGCCGCTCACATTCCAGCAAGAGCATATATATAATATATCTGAGTAATATTCTGAGAGAATATATTAGTTATAGAATATATAAGAGTAATACGTTAATATTTTTATATTTGTAATATATTTTTATTTTATTTTCGAGATTTAGTTATTTATCGATTAATATTTGAAAGAATATATTAGTTATAGAATATATTAATATTTTTCTATTTATAATATATTTTATTTTATTGTCGAAATTTAATTATTTATTAGGGTTGATATTATTAATATTTAGAAGAATATATTAGTTATAGAATATATCTGAGTAATCCGCTAATAATATATTTTATTTTATTCTTGAGATTTAGTTATTTATATTTTTCTGATTTGTAAGTATTAATTGGTATTTTGTATTATATTTAAACGTTGTGAATATCAATGAAAATAAAACCTTCTACCTCAATTTTGTTTGTCATTTTAACTCTGTATTGTTTATTTGAGTAATAATATTTTCAGATCTATTCATATATTTGAGGGTAAATATTGTGTCAGTAATTTTAGGGATTTAAGTTTTGAAGAAAGTCATTTACAGGCAGAAATTTGAGATAGGGATTAAATTCCCATCTACAGTCCATTTTTCTTAAATTTGAGCGTTCCTTTTAACTTAAGAAGATTGAGATAGGTAATTTTGATAAAGAAATCGAGAGCTAAAACGTCCTAGATCAAGGTGCCCAAGAAAACGAAAAATTATGCGTTTCTAGTGAGTTGCTAATTAATGAACGGGTTTCAAAATTAAGGCCACGCACTTAAAGACGTCTCTCCAAAACAATTTCTTTAGCTAGAGGGAAGAATAAGGAAGAAATTCGATGAATAAATCGAGCTCTAAAAACCTCTAGAAACGATTGCCGAATAAGAAGTTGCCTTGAACTTCGACAAGAAAACAGTTTTCCAATGAACTTTGGAGGTGAATAATTTAGGCTACAATCCACACGAAGCCATGAAATTAATCCCGAGCTCTTTCGTGTAACATCATCTTTAAATTTCATGACAAAATCGAGGAGAGAAACGTTGTATACCGAGCAGAGGAGATGAGTTTTCACGCGCCGACAATAATTGGAGAGAGAGAGAGAGAGAGAACCAACCAAACGTTGACACGTGTAATTTCCCGACATTACCACATGTTACTATCCTATTCGTCCACATCATCACCATTTATTTTCAATGCCCTTTTAACTATAACCTATTTATCTATCTTCGACTCGAGCAATTCAAACACGTTAAAATTCTCTTCTCGACCTCCATATTATGGAAAGTTTACAAAACGCTAAATTCATTAATAACTTAACAAGATTCTTATCATTAAAACATACGATGATTGAAGCTCGTAAAACTACTGATTGACGATACCGAACTCCTTTTAAATGTTCCGAAACCGAAAGTAGATAGGTATATAAAAATATTTATCGAGCATCTTGTTCTCAGTACGTCTCGTCAAAAGATAATGATCAAAGGCATAAATTGCCCTAATCGATCGTTACGATCATGATCATGATCTGATTGAGTTGAGTTCATTGTTTAATAAAAGTTTATAAGTAAAGTATCGGAGTTAGGTTTGAAACGATAAATTTGGAATGGGAATGAAATGGGGGGATTACTTGCCTAATCTGATTCAAAGATTTGAGAGGTTTTTAGTTTCAATTTCGGAGAAATTCATAAGAACATATTTTAATTTGATGAACATTGGGGAGAAACCGAGGAACTTGGTGTGCAAGTTCTGAGGAGACAACCATTTATGAGGCTGTTCCCGAGCAATTCTAGAAGGAAAAGGTCGTTTCTTTCCTGTCTGGGATTGTTCTCCACGCAACGGATTAAGTTTGTGTAACAAGCCTTCGATCATTATCTTTTCTCTTGAGATCTCTTTGATTTCCTTAATTTCGTGGTTGATCAGCTTCCGATCAACTGGCGAATTGGTTGTACCCGATTTACATCTCCGCCGCCGAATTCTGGGTTTGATTCAGCCCTAAACCACGAGTGAACTCCATAACAGTCTTGCTTTCTCCATCCTTGAAGGACTCTGTTTAATCTCTCTTTTTGCGTTGTTATTGAGTTTTTGTAATGGATTCGAGTAATTGGAGGCCTGCTCAAGGTGGAGAATCCGGAGTCGATGCTGGGGATTGGAGGTCTCAATTGCAGCCGGATTCACGGCATCGAATTGTCAACAAGATGTATGGTTTCTTGCTTCTTTGAGAAATTTGTCTGAGATTTTGTAACCTTTTGTGTTCATAGTTCGCTGCTTAGACTATTACTATGGGATGGTTTTCTGAATTAAGCTATGAACGGAAGAACTTTGGAAGTATAGAATCATCTTCCACCTTATTCTTCCTCTTCTTAGATTGTGTATAACTGATGGATGCTTTAGGATCCCACGTCGGTTGGAGAGGAGAACGAAGCATTCCTTATAAGGGTGTGGAAACCTCTTCTTAGTAGACCGCGTTTAAAAATCGTGAGGCTAACGACGATACGTAACGGGGAAAAGCAGACAATGTATACTATCGGTGGGTTTAGGTTGTTACAAATACAAACTGATTCCAAAACCTTGTTGAGGGTTATTGTGAGGGAGCCCCATGTTAGCTAATTAAGTAAGGAATACTATTTTTATTGGTTTATGAGGTCTTTTGGGGAAACCAAAAGCAAAGCCATGAGAGCTTATACTCAAAGTGGACAATATCATATCATTGTGGAGAGTTTTCTAACGAACCTAGTTCGTTAAAATTATCCCCGTTCATTTTTCTATATCTGGTTTGAAGATACGGTAGGTTAGGTTCTGTGGAGGTGGTTCCTATTTGTTACTTCAGGTATTACCCCCTTCTTTGAACATAGGAAGTACAAGTTATTTGAAGTAGTATGGATCTTATTGAATTTTCCTCGACGGTTCTAAAGTTCATTCCTTCAAAATGCCCAATTTTGAGTCCCACGTTGGTTAGAGAGGGGAACGAAACATTCCTTATAAGGGTGTGAAAACCTCTCCCTAGTAGACGCGTTTTAAAACCGTGAGGCGCCAAAGTGCATAATATCTACTAGCGGTGGGCTTGAGCTGTTATACTAATATTTTGAATCATGGATGTGGATTACTGCTGTAGTTTTTCGTTCCGGAACAGCTTCTCGTGCTTTTGTGTTTAATGAACTTTTCAGCCATTATATTTTCCATTTTTATGTAGAATGGAGACCTTGAAGAGGCACCTTCCTGTTTCGGGTCATGAGGGATTGAGTGAGCTGAGGAAAATTGCTGTAAGGTTCGAGGAAAAGATTTACACCGCCGCTACCAGTCAGGTACGTCCTGCTCACTTGTATAAAGCCCTGATTTATTATGCTATCTACTAAATACAACACTGAGTACTCACCATTTCTATTTTGAACCTCTGATTTCAGTCGGATTACCTAAGGAAAATATCTCTGAAGATGCTTACTATGGAAACCAAATCTCAGACCACCGCATTACCATCCAATTCTATGGTGCCTACCAATAAGCCTCTAGATTCTAGTAAGTTATCGACAGTCGATCTGCGACTATATTGTACGTGGTGAAACTTTCACTAACGTTTTTTTAAGTCAATTTGTGAACTAATTTCTTGTTATAGCGTTTTTTATTACTCTGTTCTTGAATATTGTAACGATTTCTTACTTAGCTTGTGGCGTTTTGTTAATTTTATTTGACTTTATGTTGTGTATGATAATTTAAACAGCATCACAGAGCATGCAGTCTCAAGTTCTAAATCAAGGGCCATCAATGTCTGGCCCTATGTCTTCCAATCAACCTCAGCCACGCCAGCAATTACTCTCGCAGAACATCCAAAATAATATTGCTTCTCAGAGTTCGTCCAGCTTACCTTCGTCAGTACCTCCTGTTGCGGGATTGGCATCAGCTCCAATGGCGAACATAGTTGGCCAGAATCCAAGCATGCAAAATGTATCTGGAGTTCCACAGAGTTCTGTTGGGAATGCTATGGGTCAAGGGGTTTCTTCTAATGTATTTACCAATTCTCAGAGGCCAATACAGGGAAGACAAGTGGTTTCCCAACAGCAGCAGCAACAGCAGCAGTCACAAAGCCAGCAGCAACAGTTATTTTTTCAGCAACAACATTTACAGCAGCAGATTATGAAGCAGAAGTATCAGCAGGGAAGTATGCCACACCAACTTATGCAATCTCACATCCCACAACAGCAAACGAATCTAATGGCACCGAATCAACTCCCATCATCTCAGCAATCTGTTATGCAACCTTCGCTCTCGAATCTTCAGCAAAACCAGCAATCTTCCATTCAACAGCCCACTCAATCCATGCTTCAGCAACCTCCACAGCCAGTTCTAAGGCAGCAGCAACAGTCCCAACAACATTCTGTCCTGCATCAGCAGCCCACAATGTCACAGCAGGCGAGCTTGTCTTCACAGCAGCAACAACAGCTAATTAATCAACAATCTAATTCTTCAAACATGCAGCAGAATTCACTAATACAAAACAGTGTTGGGGACATGCAGCAGCAGCTGCCCCAGCAATCAAGGTCGCATGGGCAGCAGAGCAATCTATCAAACATGCAGACTCCACCATCGCAGCAGCAGCAGCAGCAGTTAATGAATCAGCAAAGCAGCCTATCAAATTTGCAGCAGCCGCAGTTAGGACCTCAAAGTAATGTTTCTGGACTACAGCAACAACAGATGCATGGTACTCAGTCAGGTAACTCAAACATGCAATCAAATCAGCACGGTGTGCATATGATGCAACAGAACAAGGTTCAAATGCAGCAACAACCTCCACAAAATCCATCAAATTTGTTGTCAACGCAAGGTCAGCAAGGAC